ATCCCATTTTAAAATCTGAGCACGTAACCCGAGGTTCATTACTAATCCTTAAACCTGAAGCAAATTGAAACCAACACAAAGTTTATATAAAAACCCTTAAATATGGTTGAATCAGTCTCAAGTATCCTTGAACTGGCTTGGTTTGGCTTCAACTAACTAATACCAACCCCGGAACCTATTGAATCGTCCATATTATTAGTGAACCAACCAAGTGCCAACTCTAAAACCATCGAACTAGCCATGAATCGGACTCCAAGCCATTGAACCGATTTTGAACCATCCTTAAAGTCATCGAACCGACTCCAAAACCCAATGAACCAGACTTATTTCCCACTAAATCGGCCTTTAAGCTACTGAATCGGCCATTATCATACCTTAAACCCACTGAACTGGTTGTGAACTGGCCTTAAGCAAGCTAAACCAACCATGAATCGGCCTTAAGCAAGGTGAACCGGCCATGAACTAGCCTTAAACACATTGAACCAATCAAGTATACCCCTAAACTAAGTCTAAACAGCTCTAAACCAGTTAGTATCACACTGAATCGGACCAAAACAGCACTAAACTGGCCTTTATTAGCCTTGAATCGGGCTTAAACCAAGTATTTGCACACTGAACCAGCCTAAAAACCATTGAACCGGTTGGTTTTCTAATGAACCGACTTTTCCAAAGTCAATAACCGATCAAACCTTCCTAGAATCGATCAAACCAATCACTGAACTGGTCATTAAACGGTTCTACCCAAATAACCTAAGATACCTTATTCCTCCCTAGTTTTTCCTATTCTGATTCTGGTTATCTTATCCCAAGAATAACATAGTCCAAACCCAATTTCATTTGGGCTGGTCCCAAGCCCAAAACCCAAGCCCAATGGGCTGGCCCAATAGCCAAATCCAAATCCAACATTGGCCCAGACCCAACCTGGACCTGCAATCTAGTCTAGCTTTACTTGGGCTGGCCCAATAGAAAACTTAACCTGGCCTGGAGCCCAACAACCAAAACCCATACCCTAGATGGAATCGAGTCATTCCTTTTGACTTGATTCCTATAGAAAACTCGGAAGCTTGCTAATCTGGACCGAAGCAAATATTTGGTAATTTACCTCAACTTTTGGCAATTTGATTCCTTTGCTTTGCTCAAAATGAAGAACCGAAGGTCTCTAGAGAATCAATTTGACTTTTAATTGGCTTAAATTTAAGAATTTAAGATTAAAATGCTCGGAAATGGCAGACGGGAGTGCTAGACAAAAAATTGAGAAATTGACAAAGCTAATAAACTACTTTTGTCAAATTGATCGAGGGCTATGCGTCGTCTCTGACTGAAGAAGTTGATTATAAGTTCAATTGATCGAAAAAGCATAGGATGGGCACCCATTCCATCATCACATCGGTTGGCCATTTGTCGGGTAAAATCCAGCTGGTTTTTCAACTTTTTTTGATTAAGTTCTTGGACTTCCTGATTCTTTATGATCTAGTCCCTGAGTTTTATTCCAGAATCTAATTTAGTTTTTGACATTTTTAATTCAATCCTTAAAAGTTTAAATTTCTTTAATCGAGTCCTTAATATATTCAAATTGACCTTGAAACTTTTTATTCTTTCAATTAAGGTCTCAAATCAACATTTAATAAAAATTTATTAATTTCTGGAGTATTACAATATATATATATATATGTGTGTGTGTGTGTGATGTAGACAAAAAATTTTCTATTAAAAAATCTTTCCGATGCTGGATTCCCGATTATTCATACTATTTATATTACAAACTCAAAATAACTAAAGCTTTTGTTTTACTGCAAAGAAATGTGAATAGTAATAATGATATTTAGTATCAAATTAATAAATACCTTGCTAGTTGTGCCATTTGTTTCATGAGGAAGATGTTTATTATGCTACTAGACATTCGCAGTGGAGGTGTTTGTCTGCCACTTATCAAAAATTGTGCCCTTAATTTGACTTTAAATAATATTGTACACATTTTAACTCCTTCAACAGTTTGCATAGCAATCATGATAATATTGATATTTAATGGATATCACAAAACAAAAAACAATTAACCACTTTCTCTATTATTGCTGTGTAATTGAATACATTGCAATGATAGATACACATCAAATACGTTTATTATTTATATTATATTTAATTTTTTGTATGCATAATAATTGTAAATTTATTAAATAAATGTAAACTTATAAATATTAGAGAAAATTACCAAGTTGGATGGTTTAGTAATTCTAAAGACATTCGGGACCAAAATTTAGAATATTTTTATTTACATTTTTATCAAAAAAATTTGTCCAACTACGGACATTTATGTTTCCTAAAATACCTATGTCATACATTATAACAAAAAAGTCCTAAACACGTTTCTACAAAGTTATAAATAGGTCTTTATCAAATTACAAACATCTTCTTGTGAAATTCCAAATACATTTATGTAAAATTGCAACCTTGTCTTATGTCTAGTGTTTTAATATTTTAATTTTAAAAATGTTATTACATTAAGGTATTTGTAACTCTATATAAAAATATTTGTGACTTTATATTACAGAAATATATTTATAATTTTTTGTTATAACACATAGCATGGACATTTTGAGAAACATAAATATCTTTAAACTGAATTATTTTTTCACAAAATCGAGAATAATAATATTTGCAATGTCACCCCAAATGTTCTTAAAATTACCAAGCCATTCCGCTTGGTAATTTTTAGTAAATATTATATATTTATTATATAAAATTTAACAAACATTACCACTTTGTTTAATATTAGAGTCGACCTCTACAAAATAGCAATTCCATTATCTATTAGAATAAGTATCAAGTATTTAATTAGTGGTTTACATCTAACGTCAAATACACAGTCATTACTTGATTACTAAAAAAAATTATATGATATTTACGTCTTTCCTTTTTAAAAAATAAACAATAAAAATTGATTGCAAGGCTCCACGGACAACTCAGCTGGGCGATTAGCAATATTTAATTGAGGCCTGGTTTCCGGTAACTTTATAGAAAGCACAGAAAGCAATAATGCAGGCATTATACGTGTAGTTCACCAAACAACTAGAGAACCCAGTTAATTAAAAACCCTTAGACAATTTCAAGTGTTGTTAACTACTAACCACTCAAAACCAACCACATCAATTAATTAAATATTTTAAATTAATCATTCACCCACTTGAATATATATATATATATGTCTACATGTCTGCCCACAAGAACCGGCCAATAGAACCTTGTATTGCATGCATTTCTATTATAGCTATATTCAGTCCTCCCACCATGTCTATATATACATATATATTTAAATTATGTTTATTAGAATCCAGCCTATTAATTTTAAAAAATAGAACTTGAATTTATTTTTTAAAATGATAACATTTAATTGTAATTGGTCCTATTCTACTATTTTTGCCATGAGTAAGAGTGCGTTTGAATAAACTTTTTTTTTTTTTTAAATGTTCCTTTGATTTTACAAAAATAAATTTTATTTTATATTTACATACTGTTTAGATAAAAATATAAAAAGTGATTTTTTTTTTTTTTAATAAAAATTTGCTTACCACTCATTAGAGTTGAAGAAGTGGGGTTTCAATGACAATCATCGACAATCGTCAGATGTGATCAAAGATCTGGTATCGGCATTGGTCAGCAATTGCATGTGGTTAGAGCTCTATTTCCATTGTCGCCGGAGCGCGGGACAAGACGCTGAAGAGAGAGAGAGAGAGAGAGAGAGAGAGAGAGAGAGAGAGAGAGGAGAAGGGGGTATGCTCAGGTTTGTAGGCCGTTGCGTACAGAATCAATCCCAGGGGACAATTAATTCGGACACAGCATTGTAATGAAAAAAAATAACTAGGTCACACTTATTTTGCGGTGCGTAGAACGTGCATTGCACTAGGCAGAGAGGCCCAGGTCACATGAAGAAGGCGTGGAGGGAAAGGATAGGAGTGGGTTCGGTTGCATTGCATTAATGGGATTTGAATTGATTATATATATATATATATATATTGTTATATTATAAATTTTAAACTAAATTCTATTATTTTTGGAGTTTTATATTAAATCCTAATTTTTTATTTTGGTATAACTGTAATAAATTAAAAATTCATATCACTAAAACCTAACCTCATAAATTTTTATTATTTTTTTAAATTCTATTTTACCAATTCATGCATGCTTATATTAGGTATAAATATTTTGAAGAGTTAAGAGAGATATATTTCAAAGTTTAGGAATAAGGATAGGTATATTTATTTCATTTTTGTGTTAAATTAGTATAAATAAAGATTAAGCTGAATAAATAGATATTCATAAGTCATTTGGCAATTGTGCATGGGAGTTCCGGTTATTTTGTTATTTCACTAGTTGTACTTAGTCTCGGGAGAATATTTCTTTGTTAATATTGATTTTTCTAAGCTATATTTGAAGTTTAACACTGTTATTTTGTTTAATTTATTTAAATTTGTATTTAAATTATTCTTACTCTAGCTGTCTCAAAATATAAATAATACAAATTAAAAAATTTTCATAATTTATTTGATAAATTGTTATAATTTTAAATAATTTTAACGCAAGTTTGGCAAAACAATTGACATAAACTTTTACTCTAAAGGGAGAGAAACCCTAAGAAAAAAATACAGAGGGAGACGGAGAACAGTTGACATTTAAGAGACTAAAAAAACCCAGTGTTAATTAACTAAAGACGAGAAAAAAAAAAAAAGAAAAAGACTTTTATGTTTCAACACGGCAGCAGAAGCTCCCACAAACATCTATGACGATCTCTTTCCTTAAAATTCAAACGCACCTTCTCTGCTTAATTAAAGCCTTCTCTTATGCTATCGTTGACTTTTCTTCTCTACGAACCACCCCAACCCCGTCCCATACCACCACCCTCTCGACCACCCTCGACCCCCTCTCTCCACCCCTCAAATCCGAGATGAACAGCACGACAAGTTCCGGCGGCTTCCTTGGATCCGGTAACATAAGCGGGTTCGGATATGGATTGGCGTCTCGGTCGGGATCCTCCTTCTCATCACCACCATAACCCTCGCATCCTACTTCTGCACCCGCTCCCAGCCGCCGCCGACCAGGACGACTGGCGAGGCTGGGCCGCCGGGGCAGGGGCAATGCGTGATGGAGGTGGGGCTGGACGAGGCGACGCTGCTGAGCTACCCGAAGCTGCTCTACTCGCAGGCAAAGCTGCAAAAGAAGGACTCGACTCGACTGCCACGTGTTGCTCCATCTGCTTGGCAGACTATAAAGGCAGCGATACCCTGCGGTTGTTGCCGGACTGCGGCCACCTTTTCCACCTCAAGTGCGTGGATCCGTGGCTCCGACTGCACCCGACTTGCCCGGTTTGCCGGACTTCGCCCGTGCCGACTCCGATGTCGACCCCTCTGGCGGAGGTGGTTTCCCCTGGCCAGGAGGCAGGGTGGATGACTGGTTTTGGACCTGGCTCGAAGATCACATAGCGCACGGGTTGAACCTGTTTTCTTTCATTTTTATTTTTGGATTCTCGATTGTCTTCTTCCTCTTCACCCTGTAAACTATACATGCAATTAGTTAATTTCCACAGTTCTTTGAGGGAGCCAACCTTGATAGTGGATTTTCTTTTTCAGTTTTTCCCGGCACCCATGAATATATGCATATAGTTACACTACAACCTCAGCCTTTTGAATTGTCGATGGTAAATTTTTGCAAAACATCTGTTTAATTTATAGATTGGTTCGATCTAGGAAGTCATTTTCTGTTTGTTTCTTGCAAAAACGCTGAATCCTTTTTATAATAACATCAATTTCAAAAGCCAGAAATGGGGAATACTTTGTCCCTCTTACTGCAAGATCTCCACTTTTCTCTACACAAAAGAGGCTTAAAACAATTCAAATATTGGATCGGGTCTGAGTCACTGGTAATTAGATTTACAGCTTTTGATTCTGAATAAGGTCAGGATATATAACAACTTAGTCCCTGAACCGTAGACAGGGCTTCCGATTTTGGTTCATGGCTCTCAGAGACTGAAACCGGTGGTTCAGTTCTGGTACGGTTGGGTCCTTGAACCGTGGACAGGACTAAACAACTGGGTCAAGGAGGTCTGGACCAAGGATATCAGAGAGTGGAGATCCAAGTTGTAGATTATGATTCTGGTTTCTAGCTGGGAATGTGAGGTTGATATGGACTGCGACAACTCTGTTAATTTAATTCAAGTGGGATTGCAAAGGGGAGAAGCTTTACAGGGGAATGGTTAATCCAGCTCAAGTCAACCAGCTTCACTAATGAGAAGGTGGCAGAGGAGGTGAGGGTGTGTATATATGGATGCCTCCTCCGCAGTCGCCAGCTCATGAGAGGAGTCAAAATTATACCTTCTGATTCAAATTTTAAAAACTTATAAAAATAAAATAAAATCTTTCGTAAGGAAGACGGTTAAACATCGGTAAACCATGCTACAGGATATTTAGTTTTTGCCGAGACTTGCATTAGAATTGTTTTCTCTCTTTGCATTTCCAGAGACATTTCTCAAGTCTGTCAAATCTCTTCCTAAGCTCGACTTTATAAATTGATTTATAAGGGATAAGAAGAGATTCCTTGAGTTTGGCTTTAAGGCCTGTTTAAGATTGAGGGTGCGTGTATTTTTACAAAAGAAAGTATTTTTTTTTTATTAAAAAGTACTTGTAAAATATTTTAGAGTGTTTTAAGTCAACTTTTAAAAATGTATTTAAAAAAATTCGGGCTTTTGATTATTTTCAAAATTAATATTAAGTAATGTTTTAAAAAATTATTTTTTGAAAAATACCTTTAAAAAAAATTATCCAAATGCACCCTTGGTAAAAGACTGATTGCTTTTTAAAATTGACGGGTTCTTTTAACAAAATTTTAGTATTGAAAAAGTGGAGCAAGAATTGGACTGAATCACCATAAATCTCAATAACAATTTTTTTATACTTGCACTCATCAGATTAGGGCTGTCAATGGGTTGGATTTTTATCCGAATCTGATCCGAATTTTAGGCCATTTAACCGATTAAAATGTCCGATGGATTAAATCCGATTATAAATATCCGTAATCCGAAATAAGTGGACCAGATATGGAATTAAATAATCCGATCCGTTAAAAATCTGAATCCGAATAATTTAATAATAATTTTATTTAATTAATAATTATATATATTAATAAATATTTTTATATATAATATAAATATATATGACATTATAATTAATAATATACTAATTTGTATTTGTGAGATATTTTATTTAATAGAATAATGTATATTTTTTCTAAACTATTTTATAATATTCTTTTATTTTTCATAATTTTAGTTTTTCTAGTATATTATTTTTAATAATTAATTACTTTTGAAATTTCATGAAACACTTGAATAAATTGATTATAAAATTTTCTAAGTTCTAACAATAATACAAATAAAACTTGATAGTTTTATAAAATATTGGAATCCTATCATCACTTTTGTAATATATTATATAACAAAAGTTCTTCTTTATCATTCATAAATAATAATTTTATTTTTTAATTTTATTTATATTTTAATAAAATAAAAAAAATTAAACATAAATTTTACATTAATTTTTATCATTCATATATAATAATTTATTTAATTTTACATATTTTTTACTTATTAATTATTTAATTTTAATTATTATTAACAGTTATTCGGATCGGATTTTTATTGGATTCGGATTCGGTAATAATAAGTAGAAAATCTTATAGAATTTCGGGTTAAATTCGGATATATACATTGATAATCGGATTCGGATTCGGATCAGCCTGATTTGATCCAAATCTGACCCGTTTACATACCTACATCAGATATATATTTGTTTGCCTTGATGCATTCATTGTATATTTATTCACTAAATTAAGATCTAAACATCTCCATATAAACTATTTATCCATTATTTTTTATCTGATTAAATACATTAATAAAAATATTTATAATTTTTACATAAAATATTAATTATTTTATTATTAATAAAAATCATTTCTATATATTTACCTCCAGCAAAGTTTTTGGTTATATGTGGTCGCAAATTTGCAACTATCAAATCATAAGCAAAGTTACTTTTGGGTGCTCAATTAAACGTGCACGCAAGTCTTATTGTTATTTCTTTCTCTTCAAAAGTTTGACTTGATGGTACTTGTAACACCATTATTTATATATTAAATTTCATTTTTTTTATTTATATATTAAATTTCATTTTTTTTTATGTATAGCAAGGGGTTTCAACATATTTTAGATCCATCTTCAAATTTGTTTGTCCTTGATTTGAATTACGTACCACTAATGAGTAGAGCCTATCAAGGTGTGATTCTTGTGCCTACCTCTACTCCTAGGCGCTTGGCATGGTTTCTCTCGTTAGGCTAGTCTGTTAAGAACTACTTTAATATTATTTATTATAAATTCATTATTTTCTATTCAAAAAATTGACATGTTAAGATATGTAGTGTTATTACTCATATCATAATCTCTTTTTTTTTCTCTCTATATCTAATGTGAAATTTAAGATATTTGAAATATTTATTTAAAATATTTTTTCATGAATTTAAATTACTATTAACATGTGAAATACGACACTATATTGAGAGTAGGATTGGTCTCTTTTATTTTAAAATTGATATAGACAAAGAAGTTGGTTAATTTATACTTTTTTATTATAATATAAAAATTTAATTTTTTTAAAAGTGATTTGGTTAAGAATATTAATTTAAAAAAATTATATTATTTTTGACAAATAAATATCTTTAAAAAATAAACACATTAACCGGCTCGATCGTGTGGGCTCAGACCAACCAGAAAAGTGGATGGACCGTTGAGTTATATAATTATTATATTAAGTAATTTCTCCTCCGCGTTTCTGCCAGATCCAAATCTGAATGACAGCTATGTAATAAACTATGATTCTCATACAGGTCATGTGAGAGAGAGAACTAAGGATGGGAACATTAAAGTTTTGGCCTCCACGGTGTACCCGCCGGAAAAGAAATCAAGCTTTTGGCAATTAAGAAGTGAGCGGGACGGTAGGAAATATCGGAAACAAGGGCTATTCTGTCATTTCAGTTTCCATGTTCTCTCCTTTCTTCCATTTTTCACAAAATGAAAGAAAAGGAGAAATGATAGAATGAAGACGCGTATGTGGTAGTTACGGTGGAATTGCTCCATGTCATCGCCCAAGCTAGTGAAAGAAAAGAAAAATTAAAAAGGTAAAACTTGGAAGACCAACCATCTTCCTCTCTCTGCAACTCTGAGATTCGAGTGGCCCTCCTCCCTCCGGTGACCATGCAAACCTAATCCCTAATCCTACATTCATTTTTAGTCCTTGTTTGGTATTGTGGTGGAGAAAGGAAAAAAAGGATTCTATGGAAAGGAAAAGAAATGAATAAAAAAAAATGAGGGGAATTATTTGATATTATCTAATAAAAAGAAGATACTTTTATTTTTTATTTGTTCTTATTTTTTAAAAAAGAAAAATATATATAAATAAATATCGTGAGAATTTAATTAAATATAATTAATATTTTAGAGTTTTGGGCAAAGGTTCAAATAAAAAATTTTGAAGTTCGAAAATTAGTGTGAAAACTTGAGAATAGCATGAATTAGATTGAAAAGAAACTAAAATTTGAGAAAAGAAATTAAAATTTGAGAGACCAGCTTGCAGAGAAATACATCCTAGTCAAGAGACGAGGTAGAAATAACATGCAATTGATTCTCTGACAAAACCAATTGAGAGAGAGAGAGAGGCAATATCTGGCAAAAGAGGAAGTTGAAAATGCCAACCCAAAAAGCTAACACAAAAGCCGTTGTAAAAGCATAACTAGGAGAGCATATTCTACGGCAGAGGTAGAGAGAGCAGACCCTCCAAATGGGCATTAACTCTTCATATGAAGAGAGAGAGAGAGAGAGAGAGAGAGAGAGAGCAGTCACCTTTAGTGCATCTTCACCATTGTTGGTCCATCGGTTGCCATCGCCATAATTTTATAGTGGGTTAGCATAGATTGTTGGTGTAGAATATAAGAAATTTCGGGAGACACGTAAGCTAGTGTGAGCCGTTTACTTCCTGTTCCTCCTAACCCGCCACTTGGGCGATGAACGGAAAAAACTACACGGCTTACAGAAATTTAACGTGTCCAAATCCTTTCCTTCCTACTATGAATTTATTACCAAACAAGGTCAGTCTGTTATTACATTTCACGTCCTTTCCACTCAAACAACGTGTTCTAAATATGGGGGAGTTCACGTTTTTTCCAACTGCACCAACTAAATCATATCCAAGTTAAGTTTTCTTTTTTTCAAAAAA